AACAAAAACCTGAAATTTATAATTTTTAAAGGGCTTCTATTTCTTGCAACTAAACAACAGAAAACTGACAATGATCACCTCAGGTACACCTGATGTGTTTTATTCAGTGTTAAATGCTAATAATGTCAGTTTTTTACATGACACAACTGAAAGCAGCAGCAGATAGTTGACCTCAGATCTTGAAAATAAAATAATAATTTGAAATTGAACTGATTCAGTGCACACCAACAAACATCAGTGATTCAACATGTACATTTAATAATGTTTAAAAGGTTTAATATGTATTAACTAGATTATTAACTTTACCATTTTGTTGGAATGCAGTGAGTGCACTATTCTGGGATTCTGAATGGCTGTATTTAAATTTCTGTCATGTTTTGTCTTGTTCAAATAGCCAAATTGATTTTCACTGCAAATCTCGTCACGCAGCGTGTTGTTAATACATAGGGTTACAATGTAATCTGCTCACCTAAGGTTTACGTTCGTAATATTTATATTATTTGCTAATTAATAAGCACCTTATGTGGAACTTCACCCAGGCAACCTGGGGTGCTGGAATATAATTGGCTAAACTGGCATTGGATAGGTTAAAGGGACCAAAACATAGACAGACGTTCTGGCACACAACACATATTTTCAAAGCAGAATAACTGACTTAAGCATTGTTTTTCAGATATACACAGGAATGCTTAGTTAGCATGTTTCTTAAATAACTCCAATCATATTATGGTATTTCTATGATTTAGAAAAGTCAAAAACTTACAAACAGCACCTTTAATAAATATGCTAATCTGAATGGTTATTAAGCATAATGTAGTTTTGGAATTGGTAAAACATGCTTGGGGGAATGAATATGATCAGAGCATCAACTTGCATAATAATTATGTACACACTGTAGTACTTTATCAAGTATAAAGTGTGGCTCAGGCAAACAATCGATGCATGTCTGCCCTGTAAAATACAGTGTAAGCCAAAAACATTTAATCTAGAATAAAAAAATCATTATAATTACAAGACATTAGCAGGACCGCATCTAGAAGATGTACGTCAATCATCAAACCCATTTCCATTTTAAATTAATCAAGCAATTAATTAAAAGATCCTCAAACTATGCACTGAATCTAAGGACTTTGTTTTGAGTTCAGAAGCTCTGTCGAATGTTGTCTTATCAGTGAGCAACACTTCCTTCGTCTGCTTTCTGTCTGTGCGTTTGGCTAATTGGAAGTTCAGTTGTTTTCTCAGTAATACTGGCTTTCATCTCTCAGTATACAGATTGACACGCTCGCTAACTGCTCAATAACGCTCTGTTTGTGTGCAGCATTTGTCATTTTGTCAAACTGTGCAGACGCAGCAGAAAAACAATCAATGGGGGGCGATTGTAAACCATTCAGTGGAACAATTTTTCAAGTTTGCTTTACTTACATTACTTTTGACCTTTTTGACCTATTTCTAGTACAAAGTGTAAGTACTACAATGTTTTTTGTTAAGCAGGACCAGAGTTAGTGCAAAAGTAGCAGAAGAACAATCAGTTGCGATTGTAAATCTTTCAGTGAAACGATTTTTCAGGTTTGCTTCATTTACCTCACTATTGACCCTATTTTGGCCTGTTACCAGTAATGAGTGTAAGTACATCACTGTATTTGTTAAAATGAATCAGAGTTTTGGACTTTACCAATACCATATAAATAAATACAATTAAATATCATTTATTTATTAGAAATACTTCTTACAAAAACCCATCTGTAAATATAAGGTCAAATTGGGTCTTATTATGTTAGGCAGATCAATTAAACATAAATGTAATTACTCTTACAGTGCTCAGCATAAATAAGTACATCCTCTTTTGAACATGAAAAGTTTTAGTTATTTCTCAGCGAATTTAGCCAATACTTTTGGAGCATTTAGACAAAACTCTTTTATTAAACATATGTATACATTAAAGAGCACCTATTTACCCCATTTTACAAGATGTAAGAAAAGCCTTTGGTGTCTCCAGAATAGATCTGTAAAGTTTTAGCTTAAAATACCCATCAGCTTATTTAATATAGCCTCCAGAATCTGCCCATTTTGTTGTCCGAGTACAGTGTAGCTGTTTTTGTAGGCTGTGACTTTAAATCCAAGTGAGCTGCTTTTCCCTGCCTACGATTCTCACGTGCATGTCTGCTTCTCATCATGCGATATGACTACTTCAGCTAAACAGCAGTCAGTGACAGGTACAGACTTGGATGAAGCTGAAATATAGCTCATTATCAAAAATACCATTTGATGTATTTGTGGTGGAGTTTATTCAAGCCTTTCTGAAATGATGAATCTCACACCAATGCTGTTTGTACGCACAGACACACACACACACACACACACACACACACACACACACACACACACACACACACACACACACACACACACACACACACACACACACACACTAGCATTTACTAACACTATGCGACCATGGTGATTATAATGGTTAAGAATTAGATATCAATTTTACTGTGTTTATTACAAACGTGCTCCATTTTACAAACGGTTTAAACTTAGAAAACATCTAAAAATCACAGAGAATTGTAACAAATATTTTAATCCTAGTTTATTTGTAAAAAATGTTCTGTGGACATGTGTATACATGTTCTTATAGAAACATGGTAAATTTCAAACTACAAAATGTTGTATTTTTTTAGGTTTGTCTTGATTTTTCCTGTTTTGTTATATTTTTATTTAACATTTTTTCCCAAAATATTACTTTGGGTGTAGTCATTCTTTTACTTCGATCTTAAGTTTTTTTGTTAGATTAATTCTAGCTTTGTCTTAGGTACTAATATAATGTATATGCGCAAATATATTATAATAAAGCATCCTACAGAAAATATAAGCAGTGAGCAGTGTATTCATTTATACTGAGAAGCAGTGTATATCATCGACATGTATATATGCATCTTACCAAAGATTGTATATTTTTCACCTTATATTCAGGGACTAAAATTATCACTTGCCAAGCACCAACTGCAAGTGAAAATCAGTGTTGGCGAGTATATGAAATGGTGCCAGTTGGCCAGTAACTTTGCTTGAGTGTGCAATATGGTTTAGCAAAATGATAAATTTGCATTGTAATTATATAAATATGGCAACCAAAAAGCAGCATACAAATCCTGCAGTTTTCCACCAAAGTATAATTATAGTTTAATGTTTTCTGTATATTAGCAATCAATTTAAGCTGAGGTACAATGCGTCTAAAGGCCTCCAGGGTTAAAAGAATTCTTGGGCTTAATCTGCATCTTTTTTGTGTGCAGATGTAAGTTGTAATATGATGTTTATGTTTAGCATAAATGTGATTCATCTCATGTAGAATCTGTTTGGGTGAGTTAATTAACCTTGTGGCACAGAGTGTTACTGAGGAGTGCTGTTCATTCATCTTCAGCTCATGCAGCTCAAACAGCAATGTCTGACATTACAGACTATGACTGGATATAAAAAAATCATGTAGCACTCAATTTTAGCATCAGGATTTAGTTTAAATAATACTTTGATTTTAACATGATTGCTATGCTATGTGTACAGTGTGCATGATATAACTTTCATCATCAGCACAACAGTACAACAGACATCTGTATGCTGACAAGTGCATATAATTAAAATATATCTACAACTTTATTTAAACTAACCTTGTAATTTTTATCAATCATAAATCACACTATTTAATGGAGTACAAGTCTTTTGAAGGATGTGCTTTAATGTTAAAGTACACACACAATTTGAATAGACTTCTTTAGCTTTAAAAACAAATGCCTTTTGTGACACCTATAAAAAGGCTATATCAATATTTCATTTTTGAAGTATCACAGTTATAGTCAATACTGGCATATGGTGACAGCACTAACTTCCTCAAACTGTGTTGGATAATAGCAGGGGAATTGATTTGTTGCAAGAAACAATAGAGACATTTTTTTATAAGATGCAATTATGAAATGCAATAAATGAGGGGAATAAACATGAAAAATGGGACACTGCTTGAAATTCTTCAATAATCCTCTTTTACACAAAAAGTTGTGCTCAATCAATATTTAATTAATGTTTCTTCCTCTATTAAATTATAAATTGGGGTCATAAAAAAAATCTGAGAACAGTCTGTTTATCTACTATGAAAATGTCATCACTGACTGACCTGCCTACAAACCTTTATGGCCTTTTCTTACTGAGTGAAACAAACAAAACAAAGTCCAATAGTGTTTTAGATACCTCTGATATTCCTTGTATTTAGACGAAAAGATCAAGAGTGTTTTAGACCTTTGATATTCCTTGTATACAGACAAAAAAAGGGAAATATCCCTTTAGGCATACTTTGAGAAAATACAGATGATCAAAATAACGTCTTCTTTTGTCCACGTAAACTGACTTTTACTGGAAAGCATGACGCAAATGCAAGGAAATGAGTTCCTGCAGTGAGATGAGGAGAGCAAAAGGGCGAGAAATGGAGGATGAAAAGGAAAGAAATGAAGTGAGTGAGGTAAAGAGGGAGAAGAAGTGAATTAGAGAAAGAGAGAGAGAGAGAAAGATGGGAATGCTTGTACTTTCTGCTCTCTCAGCATTTTCTCGATGAGCAGTCCAGTGTGTCTGGAATACTAAACATGGTGAACATGCATTGCACTTCCAGCAGACTCAATCTATTTAACATGCGTGTGTGTGTGTGTGTATGTGTGTGTGTGTGTGTGTGTGTGTGTGTGAGAGAGGAAGAGTCTTCTGTACATGCGGTATGTGTGTCCTGTTTTAAATAACAGTTATCATGACTGATGAAGGTAATATATGGGGGTGCAATGTAGCAAGCAGCTTTACTCTGCATAATTATATGATATATCATAATCATAGCCCTGCACACTCACATTCTCACACACATGCATGCACAAGCTCTTGGACATCCTCTTTCTGTGATAAATGACTGTATGTAAATATAAATATGGGTGGCTGAAATGCAAAAATCACTGGCAGGTGTACATGTTTCTCACCTGGTACTGAAGTGCCCAGTGCCACAAACACCACTGCTGTGACTGAGTCTTTGAGACCGATGGTGCAGCCGAAATGAGATGCCAGGTCACCGATAAAAGCCGTCAGGACGCCAATCATAATGATTGACACCACGAAACACGCCCAACCGTTCCAGTAGTCGGTCGGTGGCACGAAAGCAAAGAGAACTTTCCAGAAGACGGTTAGGAAATGCATGACATAATCGAAGCAGGAGGGAAGCTTCTCTTCTCCACATTCTTCATCATCATCATCCTCACCTGCAGGAGCATGATAAAGAGAATCATTAAATATGACCTTATGCAAGGTGAATAAACACCTGAGTGTTACAATCTGCCACATGAATCATCCTGTGCCATGGAAATAATAATAATTATTATGTTCTTTTAAAAATATGTGCAATTACTTTCCTAAGTGAAATTAATTACAATGTTCATCTAGAAAATTATAAAAGTTGAGCTAATAAGAAGTCACCTGGCACCTGAGCCACTACATGGGAGCAATCCAGAATACTGAACACCGTAGCAAATGCATAGCAATAAATATAAAACAACCAAAACATCCTAGCAACTAGGCAGAACACCTTTGATCAGCATATGTTAGCAACTCATTAGGAAGCCACTTAAAGGCATTTATTCTAACTTCTATCCAGAACACTTTAGCAAATGCATAGTAACTAACATAAAATTGTTGAAAAAATGTCAAGAAAACTTAAGCAACTGTCCAGAATACCACAACAACCCCCTGGAAACATTAGCACATACTAGCTACACCTAGTTAGATGAAAAATGAGATGTGTAACATTACATTAGATCAATAATGTTAATCAAACAAAAGAGGGAATGAGTCACTACTTTGAATATTCAAGGCATAGTTCACCCAAAAATGAAAATGGACTTAACCTCAAGTGGTTCCAAATACATTTGAGTTTCTTTCTTTTGTCGAACACAAAGGAAGTGTTTTAAAGAGCCCCTATTATGCATTAAAAAGACCATATTTTGTTTTGGGGGTCTCCAACAACCAGCTGGAATGCTGCTTCCTAACATTCTTCAAAATATATTCTTTTGAGATCAACAAACGAAACAAATTCAAACATTTATTGAACAAGTTTATCCCAAAAGTAATTGTTTATTTTTATAGTGTATTGACCGCTTTATACTAATAACACAGCACCACCAGTGTTATTGATAATGTAATTATTGATTAATTTGATTAATTTATTTATACAACAGGTTATCAGTAAAATTCTATGGGTTATTTTTGTTAAAACCAAGTGTTTTTGTAGTAAAATGTAAAGCAAATTATTTTTTCTCCTCCTCGAGCAATTCTCTAGCAAGCATCCAGGAAACCCCCTATAAGACCCTAGGAACACACTTTTACCTGTGATCACACTGATTACATTATTAACCAAACAACAGCCTTATGACAACTAACTACCCACCACACACACACACACACACACACACACACACACACACACACACACACACACACACACACACACACACACACACACACACACACACACACACACACACACACACACACACAATGTTGTTGAGTGAGTAAGTGTGTGTGTAATGTGTATGCATGTGTGTTGAGTGAGGCTATAATCTGTTTGCTATTCTATTGGTGCTGCATTTCCTTGAGAGCAGTTTACACAAACCCACACACTGCTCTCTGACAGGTGAGGCTCTTCCTTTAAACCGAGATTAGATGGTTTGGGATGTTCGGAAATCTCATCTATTAAGTGCTGCAGCAGAATTAAACATTGTTTTACTAACACATTCTGATCACTGGCATAAAACCTGATTGCACATTGTGATTAAAAGGATTACTGATAGAGAAGAAACTCATACAGACACTCGGTACTTAAAACTGAAAATCCTCGAAACTATCAGATCAGAAAGATTACATAACAGAGAACTTGAGCTTTGAAGATCCTGAAGATTCAGTCACAAATGTGAGCTGATCTGCATGGGTGTTTGTTGGTCTTTTTTATGACAGTCCAAGAGTGTTTGAAGGTCATGATGATGTTTACTTTACTGCAATAAATGTGTATAAATAAGCATATTTGGAATAAAACAGATAGATAAGATCAATGTGATGTTTTTTTTTTTTTTTGCTGTGAGTGTCTGAGGGGTGAAAATGCCCCATAAAAGTCTTAAGAACAGTTCGGTATTCTTACAGTTTGGTAAATATAGTTCACATAAAAACTAAAAAAAGGTGGAAAGTGGAATGGAAAGTGTGTTTGTGCATTTTTTAAAACAATAAACCACCAAGGGTCTTTCAAAAAAGGGAGAGTACTCCAAATGAATTCAATATTTACAATGGTTTAAGTTGGAAATTTGATTTCCAGGTCTGTAACAGACATTAACACATAAATGGATTGTAAATACTAATGTAATGCAATAAATAAAACTCCCCATTTATGCTAAATGTATATATGAAGAGTTCAGATGCAAAAACCTCAGTGCCACCTGAAATTTCTTTTAATATTAGCATTTTTCTCAGGCTCCTATGTCCTATGTTCAGTAATTTCATTTTTATGGCAAATAATAGGTTATTTTTATTGCTTTTAGCATGAAATAACTAAACATAAACATAAGAGGCTGAGAAAAGTGCTCATTGTAAAGGAAAATTCCAGATGGCACTTATAGGTTTTTGCATCTGAACTCATCATATTGAAAAACTGAACTTAAATGTGTTACATTAAATCTACTGTATTAAAATATGTATATTTTAACTCTGCATTTACATTTAATATTTGATTATTTAGCAATTGTATGTGTTTTTTTTTATTTTCATTATTCATTCATTAATTTTCCTTTGGCTTAGTCTCTATTTCAGAGGTTGTCCCAGTGGAATAAACCACCAACTAGTCCTGCTGTATTTTACAGCAGAGGCCCTTCCAGCCACAACCCAGTACTAGGAATCACCCATACATCCTCATTTACACACACTCATACACTAAAGACAATTTAGCTTGTTCAATTCACCTATGAGGCATTAATTTTTCAGTTTAGCAACAAAATAAAATAAAATTATACAATATATAATAAAACTATATAATATTATTATATATTAATAATTACATAATTAAACAAAAATACAGCAAAGATAATATTGATTTAAAATAACTTAACATACTTTGAAAGAAAAAAGAAAATTAAATAAATACAAAATTTAATAATAAATGATACAGCAATAACATGTTTAATCTATATACTTTCAATTTCTATCAGTTCAAGAAAAGAGTCCCCATCTAGATTTTCCAAAAAGTCCTAGAATATTTTCCAAATAAACCAAAATAGATTAATTTTGTTTTTCAAAAAAATATGTTATCTTTTCTAAGGTAAGGCAAGACATCATCCCCTTTATCCACTGAGAAACACCAGGACTGTCTTTTTTTTTCCAAGAACATGCAATTACATGTTTGGCTTCCAGATAACATAAAATTAACTGCAATATTTCATATTTGATCACATCAAAGTTCAATGGACAAATATGCAGTATACACAAGCTGGGATCAAGAGGAATTACTTTACCAATGATTTGACAATATTCAGTATTTTAACCCCAAAACAACTGACTTTAGAGCACTCCCACATACAATGAAATAAAGTTACCTTCTCTTGTTTGCATTAATAGCATGGATCAGTTGAATTTGGGTTAAAATGACGCAACTTAAGTTGAGTTACATACTGTGTACTCAGCAATTATATTGAAGCAATCTAAAAGTGCTTGTTGTCTGTGTTTAGGCTTTTAGATAAGCTTCTAGCCTCTGGTCCTCAGTTACATCAGCCTGCAGGTCAGACTGTCAAACTTGAAGGCTGTCATTAAATGACTCTTTTGATTTGTCCACCAACTGTTTATATAAAACAGAAACTTGGCCTCTACCTTTTAAACAGTTAAGTGAAATATTTTCCAAAATAGAAAGTCAAATGGTGATCTTGTTTTGACATAATAAAACTACACAATTGCAAATATTTGAAAAAGTGCTTATTTGAAATTCCAACATAAAGTATCCTTCATCATAGTGATCAGATTCCTTGTTAATACCTCGAGTTGATCAAATTTTAAAACCTGGTTTGGCTCTTGCAGGGCGAAAATTTTTATAACCAAAACATATATATGTTAGCTGCAAAGAAAACATTTCCATTTTCTGCTTCCAACTTCCCTTTTATTTTTTGTCTGTTTATTTATTATTAATTATTTATAGAATAAAATGCTTTATGAGCCATTTTTCCCCAATAAAGGAAGTCCCCAGATATCTCAAATGGGAGGTTGTGTCACGTGGGGACAATTATTTGCCCAATCTATAGATAAGTAAACGCCCCCCCCCCACCCACACACAAACACACACACACACACACACACACACACACACACACACACACACTCAAACAAAAAGTCATGCTCATGCTGTGTTGACTCTCTTCTTATCTTTCAAAATAAATCATCTCGCTGTGCTGCAGAGGCTGACATTTAGCAAAGCTTTTAAACTCGCAACTCTTCAATTTACTGCCATTAGCTGCAGACCTTTTCCGCTTATTTGTCTCTATCTGTGTACTTTTGTGTACATGTATGCATGTGCGTCTGTGTGTCCTAATAAAAAGTCATGGAAAAATCTATTCTTTCCTCAGTGGGGTTAGATAAAAAAAGTTTTCCACTTGTCATCTATTAATGATATCAGTTAGGAATTTAATATTAATGCAAGTCAGACTGCCTTTTTTAAGAATGAAAATTTATGATTCAAAAATAACAAAAACACAATAAAATAATAAGCGTATGCCATGTGCACCGAGTGCCGAATTGCAAACCTGGTCTGACACATTACAATTAATCATTTTGTAAATAATGTCTATTTCCACTCCTTAAGACATCAATGTATTGTCAGGAGCCAAATGTATTACTTTTGTTTTGCCTGTACATGTTTTTCTGACTCTAAAAGTGTAATCAGCCATTGACATTGAGGTTTTCTGATTCATAAAAGATCTATTAAAAACAGATGAAGAAATAAAGTCAAGATGAGTTTGGTGCTATTTATTGCTATTTTCAAACCAATGCCATGTAGTTTTAATAGCAAATCCATTTGCACAACTTAGATTTGGGTGTTCCGCTCTAAAAAGGTGGTGTGTTAAGGTGCATTGTTGGTGCGTTGCTATTTCCAAAAACTAAAATAGACCATTAGTATAAAAATAGGCCATTGACCAAGAAAAAGCAGGTCTAAAGAGCACCTTACTTATTCGCCTCAGAACACCATAGTTATGCGCCTATGCAAGTTTAAACGCTTATCACAAACAGGATGCACAGAAATAAACAAATATCTTAACATATGAAAGAAATTAAAGAATTAAAATGTTACAAAAGTTATTATGTACTACATTAAAATTAAAAACGCTGCCTCCATGCCTTATTTTATATCCATGGGACTATTTTTGGTTTATTCATGACAATTTGCAGTTGTATAATGTTATTATTATTATTATAAGTATTATTTATTATATTAATATTTATGTATGTAAGTTTTGTCTATCTGTTGGGTTCTGGATATGTCTACATCACTATATGGGGCATAAGAATGGTATGTGTATTTGGATATAACTCCAACCTTTCTGAGCACGCTTCGTTATTATTGTTCATTTATTCATTTGCTGGCATTAGAACTAAATTTAGAAATAGTTTGACTAACCCTAACCCTAACAAATCTTTACACTTAACAAATTAAATTAAATATGTAGATTAACGGATTTCCTTAGTATAAGAAAGTAAAGAAGTTAAGTACAGTAAAAGTAAAGAGAAAGTAAATTAATTGTTTGTAACCGTTTTCTCGCTAGTAAAGCATTGAGTTTTTCCATTCAGTTTTTCCTCTTCCACCATATAATTAGCAAATGCGCAATGACGCGACACAACTGACTCTTAACCCTGTTAGACCATGCGCAGTGTGCAGAGCATATCTTGACATCCTTAAAATAGCCAAAGTAGATTCTTACACACCCTTAATGCTTTTGTGCCATGGACTTTTGCAGCATTGCAAAGATTGTTAAAACATAAAAAGTGTCGACAGCCACTGACTCACATTTTCTGAATCTTTGTGGTTTCTTTTGAAAACAGATGAAAAATAGGGTGAATATTTGAACAGAATCAATGCAAAATCTTCATTTTTGAGTGAAATATTGATCTTTACAACAAGAATAGTGTCTATAACAACAACTATAACTTTATTAGTTGTACTTGTCTGCTTTAAATGCTTAAGCTCTTTGAAGCAGGACAAATTCCAATTGGCATTCAATGTTTTTTTTTTTTTTTCATTAACTTTATGTGTCCTTTATTCTATTAAATCTACAACAATTGTTTAAATTACATGTTTATGTTTTAGTTATTCCTGGTGTGAATGGGGCTTTAGTGTTACAGCAGTCTATGCCTAGCAGTAGTGCACTGGTGATTACAGGTCAGTTCTAACAGCAAATAGAGCAACACACACACATACACAGAGGCTTTTAACCTTGCTTTGCCCCAGAGCACAAATTGGCACACTGAGAGGTGTTCATGTGTGAATCACTAAGTCCCCACACCTGATCCACACACACACACACACACACACACACACACACACACACACACACACACACACACACACACACACACACACACACAAACACACAAACACACGGCTAGAGCTGCAGTCTCTATGATCATCAGTCTCTCTGAGGTCGTGCTGCGAGTGCTAATTACTTCAGAGAAAACAAACCAAAAAAAAGTCCCCTCTCTCGTTTTTCTCTTTGCCTTCATCTACTTTCTTTGCACAGCTGTAAGTGTCAAAGTGAGATGAGGTTGTAAAAACTACAGCAGGGATAGATTTACACATATACTCTTAAAGGCGTATTTTAAAGGTGCACGCTACCTATCACATAACAATACAACATGTAAACAAATAGCGCCCGCACACATATATTGTATTATGAGACAGAAAACTTATACTGAAGGATTTTTTTTAAATTTGTGGTTTAAGGTAATGTTGTTGTAAAGAATGTTCAGTTTTTTTTTCTATAAACCAGTCAAAAATCATGCTTCATAAGACCTCAATGTATTGTGAGGAGTCATTGGAATTACTTTTGTTTTGCCTGTATGCATTTATTCACTCTCAAAGTGAAGATGCCCTTATTTGGACATCACAGAGAACCAATGCTTCAACTACAAAAAACAAACAAACAAACAAACAAACAAACAAACAAACAAACAAACAAACAAACAAACAAACAAACAAACAAACAAACAAACAAAAAAAAACTTAACTGTTTCAAAATTTAACTGTTCAGTATAAGGTTTTTTGGAGAACATTTTCTATGGCATCTGCTGCAAAAACACACCTTTAACTTTTAACCTTGCATGTGTATCTGCATGCTTACTACATAAATAGAAAACAACATGTGAGTTGGGTAGTACATCCGAATTTATTGACTCAATATTAGAGAAAAATTATAGAAGGTACTCGGTGCAGAGCCACGTGGGTGGAACTGAGCTCCACCTCCACCTTCCATAAGCTGCTTTATTTCGTACATCTACTCTGCCCTTAACCCCAACCTCTAGTGACATCACTTGTAGAAGAAGCTCAGCAAGGAGAAGATGAAACTCAGGCCCAGTTTCCACTAATACGCAAGTTTTAAAACAACGATTTAGATTGAAAACGATCCACGTCTTTACTGGCATTTCATCTAGCATTTCTGAACAGCTCTTCGTCCACACTACACCACTGAAAACGCACATGACATGACCACACACACACACTCTGTTATGCACTGCAGCGTATGCGCGCGTCTGAGTTCAAGGCAGTCAGCAGGTGCTTTGAGCACATTGGATGGTTCATCAAGGATCTACCACTGGATCTCATCACACTATATTTGTTAAATGTGATATTTAATTCATCTTGTCTCTATCTAGCGACATCTTTTAAATCTATTCTTTTGAATCTATATGTTCTCAGGTAACGTGTTTTGGTTGAGTGCAAAGATAAGTTAATATATGAATTTATTTAACCACGTACACTGCTTCTACATATTGACTGATTGCTTGCTTTTATTTCTTATATTGTATAAGCTTATTGTATTTTATACTTTTATAATGGCCAATATTGATTATTAAAACTGATATTCAGCAATCGAGAGGGTATGTTTCACATTATTCACTGGAAATGTAAGAAGGCAGTTATGCTATAGGCTCTGTTTTGTTACAAATGTGCATACAGTGAAGAAGACTCGAGAGTTTTCCATATCAAACTTGCAAAGTCTGGACTTACAAGGAAAGGCTGCAGGACTGAACTTTGTGTAGGCTATTCAATATTGAAAAAAAGCCCCAAACAGATAGTCGAATGTCTGCAGCCACGCCTTCCGTTTTCAGATGTCTCTGTTTTCCCCCACCCATACTAACATGGAGCAGCAGCGTTTTAAAACCAAAACGGCCTCTTCAGCGTTACCAAAAAGCTAAATTTTCTGGGCTCGAACACTCTGTGGGAGTGTGGACGGTAGCAAAAATAAAATTAAAACGTATTAGTGTAAACGATTAGTGTTAATGGGGCCTCAAGCTCCTCCTTGCTGGAGCTCAGCTCTGCCCATGTGCCTCAGCAGTGAGTAAAACTTGAAAAAGTACCCAAAAGACTTGCTACCAGGATTCTTAAATGTACATCCGAGGAATACTTTACTATCCCATGGCACAGGAGAGGAATGGCATTAAAGTGACCCAAAGATGATGGCAGTTACCATAACAATGACAACACTGCACAAGTAGTACATTTGCATCACAAAATAAGTTTCAAACCCGATGTAGTTCATACTAAAGGTCATGACTTTAAGACATGGTATTATGCCACATCTACAAAAAGGAAGTGCGCCTGTTTTCGCGATTGTCTTAGAACTTCCGATTCAGTCACCTATGGGAGAAATGACTAGGAATAATAAACGGCAGAAAATGGCCAAACTACTTGCTCAACAAACAAATGTTTGCATGACTACACAGACCAAGTAGCATAATATAATAAGAAAATATTAAATTGCAACATCAAGCAGCGTAACGAGCAGTTGTTAACGTCAAAAAATGAATGAAAGTGAATGTGACCGGAAGTCGCGAGACAAAAAGATTCAAATGGCAGCGCCCACTCGACAGCTGAGAATAAGGTGAATAGACAACCTAAACATCCCATGACACTAATGCCTTGTTTAATATCTACTAAAACTACTTTGTTTTAGTATGTACCAATATCTGGAAATTAGTAGACATCTGATTCACTAAAAGATTTTTCTTCTGGATCGGGTCAATCTGAAAACTGATCTTACAAAACTAAACCTGTAACCCCCCCTCTCTCCCCCCATTGGTACTACATTGGTTGACACCATTGGTTTTTAGGTAGTCAACTTGTGTTAGCATTCAAAAAATTATTTTGTTTTTAAAAATAGTACCAAAGAATAATGGTTTTGACATTTCGTGTGGAAACAATAAACAAAACATTTGATGCAATCAATATAACCCGGGGATGTCTAATCTTTCTCCTGGAGAGGTTCAAACCAAATTACTTGATTACCTCTAATTACTTGAACCTCCCAGGCAGGTGAATTATTGCAGGTTTAAGCTAAAACGCTGTCCTTAACATCAGTCCTTGATGAAATTTTTTTGCTATAACAAAAAACAGTCCTCCGCACACACAGTCCGAGATACTCACCAGCACTGACCGTAATGGCCTCAATAAACTGGTCCCTCCAGCTGTTGGTGCCAACCAGAAGAGCCAAGTTTGTCTTTTTAATCAGCTTATCAACGGTGTTCTGTAGAGGAAACAGAGAGAGCAAACAAAGAGAATGGATGACCGCTTCATTACTGCGCAGTGCAACTGAGATCAGGAACAAACAAACATAAACACACTTCAGACGAGGTGGACCACCGTTCAGAGCGCTTCTGACTGCTCCCTGGTCTGCCTTGCTGTGAAGTGTGTGTGGGATCAGAGTGTGTGTGTGTCTCAGCGTGGTGAGTGTGTGTGGGCTAAAGTGCATGCGTATACATGTGCATCGTCCTGAAGTGTGTGGAGGCGACCGATGACATGCCAATGTTTAAGATCCTTAAACTTCCCTGACAGAATGAGGGTGTCTTGCTTCTACCAGAAACAAAAAAATGAAAAAAGAAAAAAAAAAAAAAAAACTGGCATCTTGATATGAAATATTCTAATTCATACTGTATCTGACCTATCGTATAAAGTTAAAGTGATCTAGTAATTCATTGTGAGGAATGGGTAAATCCTAGTAACTATTGTCAATAAAAGTCAATAATTATTATATTATTATAATAATTATATATAATAATTATACAATTGCAAGGAAGGAGCAAATAATACACATTTCAGAAATACTCAGGATTCAAAGTCATACAGACTAGGATGTTCATGCACAACCATCTCCAGGGTTTACAGAGAATGGTCTGAAAAAAAGAAAATATCTAGTGAGCGGCAGTTCTGTGGGTGCAAATGCCTTGTTGATGCAAGAGGTCAGAGGAGAATGGCCAGACTGGTGTAGTTAACTGAAAGACAACAGTAACTCGTTACAACCGAGCCACTAGTTACTACCGAGGTATGCAGAAGAGCATCTCTGAATGCACAGCAGGTCCAACCTTGAGGTGGATGGGCTACAGCAGCAGAAGACCACACCAGGTGCCAATCCTGTCAGCTTAGAACAGGAAACTGAGGCTATAATTTGCACAGGCTCACCAGAATTGGAAAATAGAAGCAAGAAAAACTTTGCCTGGTCTAATGAGTCTCGATTTCTGCTAAGACATTCGGATGGTAGGGTCAGAATTTGGCATCAACAACATGAAAACATAGATCTATCCTGCCTTGTATCAATGGTTCAGGCTGGTGGTGCTGTAATGGTGTGAGGGATATTTTCTTGGCACATATTGGGCCCATTAGTACTAATTAAGCATTGTGACAACACCATAGCCTAATTGAGTATTGTTGACAACCATATCCATTCCTTTATGACCACAGTGTACCCATCTTCTGATGGCTACTTCCAGCAGGATAACGCACCATGTCAAAAAGCGTGAATCATCTCAGACTTGTTTCTTGAACATGACAATGAGTTCGCTGTTCTCAAATGGCCTCCACAGTCACCAGACTCAATCCAATAAAGTACCTTTGGGATGTGGTGGAACAGTAGAATCATGCAAATCTGCAGCAACTGCATGATGCTTTCATATCAATATGGACCAAAAACTCTGAGGAATATTTCTAGTACCTTGCTAAATCTATGCCATGAAGGATTAAGGCAGCTCTAAAGGCAAAAGGGGGTCCAACCTGGTACTAGTAAGATGGACCTAATGAAGTGGCCGGTGAGTGTAAGTATAACTGAAATGGCATTTTAATGTCTTAAATAGTAATAATTGGCTTAATGTACTGAAAAGGTACACTTTATTTATTGTGATAATTAGCACCAGTAAATTTACATTACACCAGTATATATATTTATATACACCCTCCAACCCACACACACACACAAAGTCAAGTCCGAAATTATTTATACCTCAATCAAGTTTTTTGTTTTGACCAGAAAAGACACAGGCTTCTCCCAAAAGTTAAAAATATTTGTCAGGTTTTATTTACATTTTAACAAAAGTATTTATATATATATATATATTCATTTAAGTTTAGTTTTTTTTAATTGCAGAAACATTTTTCTAAATATCTTCTTTTTTATAGATTACAGGAAGCGATGGTGGTTTAGACTGACATTTAATTCCGACAACTAATTGACAAGTAAATACTACAGCTGAATATTTTGTTCATTTTTGGGTGACCTTAAGTAAACAAATTAATCTGGGTAGTTATTTGTTCGTCAGTATTTGACAGAATCATATTTGTTCGCTAATGCAATAAACATGTCATCCTAAAAATACTCATTTTGATTAAAGATTAGGAGGGCACATGTTTTTTATGTAATAAATGTTGTGTCATTTATAATATTTTCATTTCATGGTGACTTTAAAGGATAACTGACATTGCAGCAACAGATGATAACCAACGTGGATAATAACGGTATATCATTCATCATTTAAATTTTTAGGGTGTTTAGTGCCATGTGAACTTTCCCCACATGGGAAATATGTAGCCATAATAACAAACCTTAAATTCATAGGACTCCTCGATGATAACCTCTACTCTGGGGTGATCTCCAAGCATTGGTTTTCCCATCTCAGCAATGCGGCGTTCTTCCTCTTCTTCACCTGTCAGAGGCTCCTCCTCTTCTTTCACCACCTCCTTCTCCTCGTCTGAAAACAAAAGAACCAATCAGAGAGTAGAAGACAAACCTACCAAACCAGCCACTATTCAAAAAAACACAATAACCACAATAACAATCAGCCAGAGTGTGTTTGTGGATCAGTTGGTTTCTCTGGATCAACTAGATTGTATAAAAAATTGTGTTAAAAAGCAGCAAAGAACTCTGCAAGGGAAAATCCTTAAAAAGGTCAAAATCTCAGATTTTTGTTGGTAAATTTAGAAACATGGGCCCATTTTATAATACATACTTTTACAATAAAACACACATTACTGTGACCCTGTATATGAGAAATATGTCAGGGGCAGGATTTTTTCTTCCATTTTTTTTTCTAAACGATGAAGCTTCTATGAGCCCAGTGGGATTTTGGCTGAGTGTGTGGTATAAGTAACCTATGGCTTTACCCCAATCAATCACTCACATTCACACACATTCAATGAAATGAGAGGGTCAAAGGAAAAGCAGCAGACCTAAGGACACAGAGGTTTGGAAAGGAAATCAATTAGGTTACATTAGAGACATAAGAACACACCTGACAGACAAAGAAGGAAATTACAGTCCTATTGGTGGCGCTGTGGTGATTTCAGGAAGAAGGGTATCGGTTTATCGGTCTTATTTATTTAGTATTTCTTCTTAACTGGCAAAACCACTACACCAACAACAGCAACAGCAAAAACAATGTTATGATGACTATATTTCCTAGCTCAACACAGACATTAGCCTCGCAGGAAGACACGGCTGCATAAACCAATGAAATATCTAATGGAAAGAATAAATCTCCAGCCACAAATGAACTCTGAGGCGTTAGTGCAGGATTCCAGCAAAAGTCTTGCTGCAGATTAAAGACAGAGCTGCTCACTCCTGTGGCCTAAACAATCTTTCTCCTTCTCTTTGTCTATATATTTTATGCTTATCTGTTGCAGTGCATCTCTTCATCTATATTATCAGACAATAAGCTCTCCTTTTTGGTTAATTACTAGGTTTTCCACACTAGCCTATTGATTTGTGAGATGATCAAATCGTACAGCGAATCATCTCTTTTAGTCTCTGATTGCAGATCATTTTGCTGTGTTTAGTCTTATATTCCCCATGTCTTCGGTATTGTTTGTGGTTTTGCAGTTTTTATAGAATTGTAAATAAGACAATCAACTGACAGGACAATCTATAATTTGAACAAAGGGGTTGGTCAAAATGAATTGAATAGCCAAAAATAGAGAGACTAATAACTAGCTGGAGTAAAGTGAAGAGGAATGGGCAGTTTGATGGAGACGCTTGATTGATGTCCTACTAAAACTGAGCTTTCTGTCAGATGAATTACCACACTAATTGTAGCAGATATAAGAAAACTACAAGAGAAACCAGTATTACTAATATTCTCTATACAAAATTTAAATGCAGGAAATTTGTGTTTCTATGGGGAAAAAAAAAAAATATTTTTAAAATATATAAATTATACATATAATATCTGTCTGTGAGATATTATTATAAAATAATATTGAATACAAAAAAACAAAACAAAAAAAAAATCTATCTGAGGCCACAAAACTCCTGTTTATTTTGTTCCCCAATTTCTGTTTAACAGAGAGATTTTTTTCAACACATTTCTTAACATAATAGCTTTAATAACTCATCTCTAATAACTGATTTATTTTATCTTTGCCATGATGAGAGTAAATAATTTTTGACTAGATATTTCTAAAGACACTTCTATACAGCTTAAAGTGACATTTAAATGTTAAACTAGGTTATTAAGTTAACCTAAGTTAAGGCAGGTTAGGATAATTAGGCAAGTTATTGTATAACAGTGGTTTGTTCTGTAGACGATCAGGAAAAAATTACCTTAAAGGGGCTAATAATTTTGTCCTTAAAATGGTGATTAAAAAACTAAAAACTGCTTTTATTCTAGCGGATATGAAACAAATAAGACTTTCTCTAGAAGAAAAAATGTTATCAGACACACTGTGACAATGTCCTTGCTCTGTTAGACATCATTTGTGAAATATTTAAAAAAGAAAAACAAATTCAAAGGGGGGCTATTAATTCTGACTTCAACTGTATATACACATACCTTACATTGTGTGTTTAATGATCGTAAATGCTGTAGCCATTTTTTGAATGTGCATTTTATAGAGATGCTAGTCGTGTTGATCATAAGCATGTGATCCTCTCAAAATTAGTTTATAAATAAACCACACTTGGTTGTTGAATGTAGTTGTCATTGTAATTATAGTTGACTAAACTGTGTGTATAGGACACAATGAAGTACTAAAAGGTGAACTGACAACCAAATTTAGCATAAGTATGAAAATTATGAACGTATGCGAGTCAGGTTTATGTGCATGTGAAATCTGATATTTACTTAATTGCCTGAGGATTTTGCTTCCTGTTTTGTCCTTGAAAACAGAGCTATCATTTTCATATGTATGCTGCACATTACACACACACGCATGCACGCACACAGGCACGCACGCACGCACGCACACTTGAATGCACACACACCATTCAGTCATCCGTTCATTCATTTTCATCAACCATCTATTTTGCTGTCCTTTTTCTCCCTAGTGTCTATTTGATAATAAACAACCTTCTTTCTCTTGTGAAGCTTTTGAATCATCCACGGTACTTTCAAATATCTTAGAAGCAAAGCTAATCAAAAGCCATTGGAATTGATTATTAATTATTTTGAAAATGATTCATCACACATCCGAGTGGCTTAATCAGATTTTTTGTTGTTGTTAATTACTGACTAAAATGGTATGAATGAGTGGTTACATGTTCTCCTAAAATGCATAACTAAATCCAGCTGCAACTCCACCTGATGTTTCTCTCTCCAATTATCCACTATTTTCCGTGTTTTGACCTCTGGATCTCTTTTATCTTACATTATCTTATTTTATTAATGAGGTTAAAATACTGCATTAACTAAAACCAAGCTGATATCAAAGAGTAAAATATAAATATGTTATAAAACATTTGATACACATCAAAACACTGAAGTGCTGGGAAAGCGAGCTGTTCTGCTTCCTAGAAATAAATGTTTATCTAAATGTGAGATGAAACACACTCGAACAAGCCTAGCTTTGAAGACAACTCACAATCTCAAGCTCAGAGTCTTTTTTAGCTCCCCTAATCTCTCCTCATGATTTACAGCCCAGCATCTGCACCCATTTGCTAGTGTTTGGATGTTTCCTTTGTGTCTAGTTTGGAGATTATTGCAAGGAAACAAAATTAAACAGTTCACTTTGAATGTTTCTTTCTGAAGCAGTGAGTATCCTGAACAAACCCTATATGGTAAACTACACAGAGATTGCATAAGAGATGATTATAACTATAAACTAAAGGATCCTATGATTAAAAATCGAAATGTCTTTGATGTTTTGAAGCATTTGTGCGCTAAATAAACAATGCATACTGCACTACAATTCTAAATCTTGATTTCAGGATTTACTATAGTTATTACTTTTATCATTAATAAGTAATACTTCTTTTTTATCAAGGTTGCCAAAAGGCACAGTACAGACAGACATATGAAATATTTATATCATATAAATTATGCTCTTTTGAACATTATAATCATAAATACATTTTGGGAATTTAAAAAAATGCATCACAGTTTAAATAAAAATATTAAGCATTTTTTTCAACATTAATAACAGAAAATGTTCATAATACTGTATCAGCATATCAGAATAATATCAGAATATTTTATGAAAGCCACAACTAACTCTGAGGATTGAAGTAATGATGCTGAAAATTTGCATTTGTCACAAGAATAATATTTCACAATATTACCTTATTACTGTAATTTAAGCTAAAATGTATAAAAATTTTAAATAAACAAATATACAAAAACTTAAAATAAAATATTAAATATGTACTCACAAATAAATAGCAGTGTTTACAATAAACATATTAATAAAGATATTATTATAATATATAGTTGAGTGTGCCGACATATACAGGGTATATGCAGGTATCCTAAAGGTAATTTCAATACCTTTTTAAGACTTTATAAAAACCTTCTTAGAATATTTTATAACCTCATCGCCACTTCAAGTTCTTATCAGTATCAAACTTTTAACTTAATCAACAGTTATTAATAAACAACTGTAGTAAAATAAATCAATGGAGCACAACCATGCAACAGAACTCAGATAAGCTCAGAAGAGACAGAGCTTGAAAGAATAAATTGTGGTTGTTTTCAGCGACCGGCTTCTACCACTGTTTAAACTCGTCTTTCTCCAACCAGAAGTATGCAAACTTACATTTTCCCAGTTTGGAACACTAATATGTTAATATACATTTAACTGCACATATTCAAACATAACGTACACCTTTTACGGTTAGATGCCATTACTCTTGAAATTAGAAGATATTATTACATTATATGAGATAAGATTATATTGCATTAATTGACATATATCTGAAGACAAGAGTCCACCAAAGTATTCCAAAACATTATTCTGTTCTGCCAAGACCATTGCTTAATTTCCCCCCTTAATTTCCACACTTCACTGCCAACCTCGCATTAACACCTCCATTTAAATTATTTTACTTTATCCTTTTCAAATTTAGTCTTAATTATGTTATTTTTCTATGACTAACAATAAAACAATACTTTAATGCATGAGTGTTATCTTGTGAGTAGTTGTATGATCAGCGAAAGTTAAGGAATACCATTAGATTAATAACATAGCACAGAAACACCAGGAGTTACAGAGAGAAACAGAGGGTAAGACTCTGCCCAGAGGGAAAGAGGAGTCAAATAAAGCAAAGCTGAGACACTGTGAGAGGAAGAGAAACCTCTGTATACTGTCCATCCTCTCCTTCTCCAAAGTGGCGTCTGTAGCTCTATGAAAAAGCTGCATTGCTTATGGTACTCCTCTCGATTGAGAACCCTGACTGTTATCGTCTTCCTGCAGAAACAAGACAACAGGAGGGGGGTTGGAATAATGCATGCATGAAACACACACTCTCACACGTGCACACACACAGAGATACAAGCACACACGCGGGGGCCGGAGGGCTGTTGACAGTGTCGTTTGGCCTGTAGTTGATCCTGATGATGATCCAGAGCAGAGGGTGGACTGGTGTTCAGTGTATGTGTGTGTGTAGTGTGTATTCCTCTGCTGGTGCAGGTCATGCCCCCCCCCCACCTCTCTTCTCATCGGTCTCTACGAGCTGAGGGTCTCCGATCTCCAGAAAGAAGCTCTTGTTCTTCTCGTATTCTTCATCATCAATTATCCTGACTTTTATCGTTTTGCTGGACAGACGGGGAGAGAAAAAGAAAGAGGGAGAGAAAGAAGAAAGTGAGGAAAAGACAGACCAAGGAGAAGAAGAGAGAGAGTAATAAACGGCATGCAGTCATGCACAGGCAGAGCGTCAGAACAAGAGGATGATGCAAGAGAGAGAGAGAGTGAAAGAGACAATAAGAGAGAGAGAGAGAGCAGCCTCACCAAGTCTGAATGTAAATATACACTCAAACACAAATATAAATAATATTTCCTCCTATTTTTCTTCTTTCTTAGCATAATATATTAATGTATATGATATGTACTGTACATATACTTTTACAACAGTTCAGTCTGGTTTATGAACCTGATTGGCTGATAGCTGTGCGATATTCTCCAATAACAGCACTCATACAGCCTCTTCACCCTTCACCATTGTGTATTACTCCGCCCACATACAGCAACAAGAGGACGCTACACTCTACAGTATTGCAGCTGTTGGACAACATAGTTTTTTTGAGGCTTTTTTAGTCAAGAATGTAGTTGTTTAGATTGCAACTATGCAGTTTATTTCTAAGGATAGTGCCTATTTTAAAATATTTATGATTTTGGATATTCAGTGCATTGGCCGCCGTTAGCATGTCTGAACAGATCTAAGTAAGTGACAGTAGAGTTTCTGCCACAAGATGGCGACAGAGACTGTGTAATAAGTCCTTAGAGGGAGAGAAACTCAGCGTTTTCTCAATGTATGTTTCAAATTACAGCTTAACAAATCATAAATCAGGTAAGTGACATTCTGAGTCGATCTCTCTCTTTTGCATTTTGAAGTGCAGCATTTTAGCAGAAACTGGTAGTGTTTGCTTTGCGTTGGCTTTTTAGGGTTAACTATTGTGATATCCCAATTTTAACAGAGAAATACTGGGACATCTCTGTAGATTGATGGCATTTCAAGCCGTTCAGCCTTATAATCTTAAAATGTGAGCAAAAATGACTTTTTTTGTCATCAATTTAGAATCATTCAAATACTAGCCTTAAACTGACGTTTGTGAACTGGCAACAGTTTCTGCTGTTCTGCCTGTCAGCTGCAGATGTGAATAAATGGAGGAAGAAAGTAGTTTTTGAGACTCTCTATGTTTGATTTTCTTTCTGAATAGACTGCAGCCTCGAGTCAAAACCCACCTGCCATCAGAGCAGATATAGCATATTGCACTGCTACTCGTGCGATATTACTAATATATTCCCCCCTTCTGTATATATCCTGTTTAATTAAATGTATTCTAAGCAAAAATAATGGCAAATGCACATTTTAGCATGATTTACATACATAATGCATACCAAACTAATTATGTGTAACAACATTTTATACAAAAAAGCTTATTTCCAAACTATTTTATCAACACTGCCCTTTAAACGAGTTTGTCATTATTTAAATCTAATAAATTTTTAGAATGATTACTTATTTGTGTATACATATGTTACTGAATACAGGCCAGACAAAGTTTCTTAATTTTTATTAAATTAATCTGTATATTATTTAACCAGGGCTGTAAAACTATACTTCAAATAGTTATTCATATTTAAGCAAATGTATCTACTTATTTATTTTTTAAAGTTAAATCCTGACATAAATCAAAATCTGAAGATTATAGAAAGACATTACATTGTTGTGGATTATAAATTAAATATACTTTTCTACTTTTATTACTACATCATTAGGCATAAGAAAGAAAGTATCACTGGCCACAGTAATACATTTCACAATCATGTTAGCGTTTCATAATTGATGCCATCCTTCCTTTCAATGAAATGTGAAACTTTTCATATTAATTACCATCAGGTGAAGTTTTTTTTTTTCCCTCTCCGCTGTCACCACTGCCTCGCATGGTTCAGGATTGGTAGAGCTACGCATTGATGAATTTGCTCTTCAGTGTTTGAACTCTCAGTAATGATTAAATCACACTAAACTGAGCTAAACTGAACTGAACTTAAACACTAAAACCTTAACCACACTGTTCCAGTTACTATGACCATTTATGTGAAGCTGCTTTGACACAATCTACATTGTAAAAGCGCTATACAAATAAAGCTGAATTGAATTGAATTAATTCATAAACAATATTGCAAAAAGTCATCTTTATTTATCTATACGTTTTGAATCCTGTTCCTGGAGGTACACCAGCACAACACCTTTCAAACTATTACTAATCAAACACACCTTAAATCAACTCATCTGGGTAGGGTTGCATTCAGCTGTTTGTACTGTAAGTTCTTTCTTAAACTGGAATTTAAAGTTCTCACTAGTGGCTTAGTAACTACAGTTCTCACTTCGGTTGCACCCTGTGTACTTAAGGCAAACTGTAGTTAGTAGGTCATAAGCTCTCAGTAAATTCGCATTGAATGACATAATATCCAATAAAGGCACTTAAATCATTAAACTGTTTTAAAATTCTGCCACTAATCCATCTATATATAACTGTCCTATAAAAATTAAATTATAGTCAGTCACTAATAAAAGGCGACACCTGCATCGTGAATACACAAAGTTATGAAAACATTAAACTTGATTTTTTTATATCCTACATATAAAAGAGAAAAGAGCAGGAAGAAAATGAAGAAATTCTCATTTTAATTGATGGATACAATTAACACAAAACACTACTTGATAGAAAATTACATTCTTCTTTCACAAACTAAAAAAAAGGGAGATTTAGGGATGAAACGAAGGCTGTCAGTAGAGGAAGACCATTCTTCAATATGATTGCAAGGTCCTCAATGTAAACTAATCTCGCTGTCATCTCTTTACTACCGTTATAAAAGGAGGAGGCTGCCGTAAATATTGAATTGGAACGTAGAGTTACGTTTAAACCAAGTCAAATATTTAGTAATGTGCAAGTTGTAACTTAGTTTTAACTTGCGCACTGCTGGTGTAACCGGCCCCAGAACATTAATAAAGTATCCAAAATCTGAAACGAATGGGTCAGAAAAGGAAGACATCCAAGATATTCATTGTTGGTGTGCCTCCAGGAACAGGGTTGGGAAACACTGAGACCATAGTTTCTCCAAAAATCATAAAATCTTGAATTTAAAAATAAAAATAAAAATAGAAAGAAAAATACACTACATTCGTTTAAAATTGTTCTGGGATGCAGTCAGTATCTTGTGAAATAGCCAGTGCTGCATATTTATGACTGCTTTAACAGCATGTTAAATTAAATCAGTGGACATGTTGAATGCTGATGGACTTTCATTTAGCTCTGACTCAAGACATCAAGCTTTTTCACACATCTTTTTAGTTGTCTGAATTCCCCCCATCTACACAGGAGCAACATCCGGCCCAGCATACTTAGAGGAGACATTAAATAAAAGCCTCAGTCTCCAAGCTAACCAGAATCAGAAACAAACTCCTTCATTCACAAATTCAGACCACTTGTTGCTATGCTTGCATGAGCTTTTTCCTAGACCAGGGATGTCCAAACTCGGTCCTGGAGGGCCGGTGCCCTGCACAGTTTAGCTCCAACTTTCCTTAACACACCTGCCTGGAAGTTTCTAGTATACCTAGAAAGAGCTTCATTAGCTTGTTTAGGTGTGTTTAATCGGGGTTGGAACTAAAATATGCAGGGCACCGGCCCTCCAGGACCGAGTTTTGGACCCCTGTCCCAGACAAACCGCAGCACAGAACATTACAACATTAAATGTCCACAATTAACTACATCACACAACAGAGTCATCTCTCAGGTCTCCATTTATTTTTCTCACTGAATATCACTCTAAAATAACCATATCACTCTTATTTCCCTCTAAAATAAGTCACATTCTGTATTTTTGGATTTTTATTAGAAATTGCTTCAAGATAGGGAGGATGTTTGGTTGGTCATTAAATTTTGATATTTTGTACTGTACACTCAGTTAAGCACTTCAAAAAAATCACACACACGCACACATGCGCTCACACACATGCGCTCACACACACACACACACACACACACACACACACACACACACACACACACACACACACACACACACACACACACACACACACACACACACACACACACACACACACACACACACACACACACACACACACGCACACACACACAAATCTGTTTTAATTATCTGACTGATACAACTTCATTAACTTGAATTTATCAAACGAGTGATTATGAAAAATGTTTTCACTGAATAAAAAAATCTATCATTTATTAAAAAAAAAAATAAATCTTTAAAAAAAAAAAAATCATATATAGTCAGAATTACACAAATTCATTGAACTTTATTTCTATATCCTTAAACTTAAGCTGTCGTTTGTCAAAAAAATTATCAATTTTATAATCGTGTTTGCATAATTGCTTTTATTGAATTTACCATTTTTTAATCGTTTAAAAAAATAAGAACCCAGTCCAGAAGCAAAATTCTTTTTTGCGAAATCTGCAGTCAAACAGCATCTTCAAAAAGTCCTCAAGTCTGCAAGAGCCTCTTAGAGTGACAAGAGTAGTCTAAAATGAGTTCAAAACAAGTTTAATAATATATTTCTTGGAGATGGCTAAACAAAGCATCCAAATTAAGCAGATAGGTGAAAGAACCTGCCCAGCCATTGACCACACACGTTTATCAACAAAAGAGTTTCTTTGGCCTGAAAGTATTACCCAAAGATAAATGCACAGTCAGTGGGACTCTGCCTT